GCTCTTTGGCTTTCTCTTTTCATGTAGTTTTATGCAGGTGTTGATCTTTCGATCACTTAGCTTCAGGATGGTGTATTGCAAAGATTTTACAAGTTACACTGCAAACACAATTTTTCAATGCTCTTTGGTAACGGAAGACAGTCCTGAAAAAAGTCCTCTATATGAACCATATAATCTTAAAAGAACACAAGTCATATGAAGCCAGGACCTTACCGATTAATGTCTGCTGGAGTTTTGTGTACCAGAACTATGTTTCCACCTGGAGTTTCAGTTCTGCTCTGCAGACTGTGTACCGTGTTACAGCCTTGGCCACCACTGTGCAGAATATTTAGCAATGCAGGGGTAGAATCTCAGCTCTGTCATAATATACTGTGTTACTCTTTTCTTTTTGTTGTCTTCTCTGTCTCTGTCCTTTTTGCTGTCCATCCAAGTCATCAAATTTAATTTCTCTGTAATTAAAATAGGTTATGTTCTGGATCCATACGAAGGATCACTGTTCCTGGCAGAGGTCTATCCCCCAATTATCCATAAGACTATTGCTGTCATATTTGGGGCCACTAGCACTTCGGAAAGGGACTTCTGGAGGTATTCACACTGTTATATCCAACGTAACTCAGAATGCTGTGCAAAAAGTGGTATCTGTACCCGGTATGCAAGCCAATACATACAGGGTCAAGGTATTTCTCTATTACAAGTTTGCGCAAAGTTGGGAGCTGGGTGGTATTCCACAAAGATAGCTCTCCTTTACCAGAAAATCACAGCTTATTTATCCTGTTACGTGATTAGTATAAGCCCACCCAAAATTACAGTTATTGCTTAGTACTTAACATATTGAAATTAGCACGCATGCTTGGGACAGGTGTGTGGGGATAGGTCTTTTTGGTCCTGAATTGAGTCAATGGTCGCAATCTCCTATTGCTGCCTTTACCTTTCCCTAGTTACTGCCGACTCTTGCTGACTTTATCAGTCTTTGAAGTCCTTGCTTTGGCTCCTCCTTTAATGATTAATGGCTAGCAGGCTGATGAACGCTGGTAATGCACATCGGATGTTTTGGATTTACAAGGATACATGTCCTCCTCTTGATGAATGTTTTGAGGCTCCTCTGCTATCCCTCACCATCTTAAAGGAAACAAAATCTGGTACATCCTTTCATCAAGAAGACAGACCATTTTAAGCTCCTTAGAAGGACAGTTGTGAGCACTGAAGTTTGGTTCCTGTCCTGAACCATACGTATACTGCTCTCAACCTTATCCACAGTAGATGAAGGAAAACTGTAACAAGGAAATGGTAGCAGAGATTAGGTACTCGTGTTTGTAGTATGCCCAGGATAATCCACTGGTTTTACAGTTTAGGATATGTTCCACTCAGTGGTGATCCCTACTTTCATCAGCCTGCCTTCATTCTGGGAATTTTTCTAGTATAACAAAAGTAAGAAAAGCTGTAACTTCACTTAGGGCAGAAGATCGTCAGGCTTACGGAAAGCAGGACACTGGTTTCTGAGCTCACTGAGAGCAAATTGAAGTATAACCCATTTAGCTTCCTTCCTGTCCTACAGTTTGAATAGAACCTTTTTGGGGGTGGAAGGGTTAGGCTAAGTACCTTTTTGTGATTGGAGAGGTTTTCTTCCTTGCTATCAGAATAGGTGATGAGAGGCATGAAATTTTTGGGGGTTTGTGTTTGGTTATTTTTCCCCTGTTTCTTAGAGGAAGTAACAAGAGTAGTGCTTAGTTCAGATACTTACTCTATTTGGGGTGTATTTTCCTGACAGATTGCACTTGGAAGTGAATGAAGAGCGGAGATAGAGTAAAATGGGATTGAAGTTTCCAGTGTCTCGTACAAGAAGTACAGAACTACTGTTTTTATCTCCATTCATTAGGCTATTAATTTCACCACACTTTGGGCAAGCCTTACTATTGGTTCTTTTAGGTTCTTTTGAGGAGGGCTCTCTAGCAAGAGAGGATTCCTGAGAATGGCTTGTACTGGACAATTTGTTGCTTGGTATGTCCGGTTGAGTTACTAACACTGAACTGGATTGAGCAGCCTCTGTCACTTAATAGCTGCAGTCACGAGCAGCTGTATGACTGATGATTAGTCCAGGAGAGTTGATAGAGTGTAACTACGCTCACCTTCTCCTGCAAGTCACAAGACACTTTTCAACATCCTACAGTGGTTTTCAGATCTTAAAGATAAAATACCAGCATACACAAGCTAGTAGTACTACTTAAAGAAGTTGTGGCTATTTAAATTGTATAAATTTGTAATAGTAAGTCTAACTAGTGCTATGTAAATAATATAGCACAGTTCCCTTCTCTTTCTAATGCCTGTAGAAAAAATATTTTAAATATTAATTTTTCAAAATTACGGAACAACCATAAAATCACAAGAAGTAATTAAAAGCATGAAATTCCAAAAGTAATGCCGGATTTGTAGCATTTTCAGTACTTGCAGCCATATTCCTAGGTAGGGCAGGATTTTGCTATATTTTCCCAGCACGTCCATGCTAAGTGCAGGAAACCTGGCCGTTACGAAGATGTGATCAAATCTGGGAAGTTTCAGGCTTTGATGGTGCTTCAAGAAATCTTGTGTGTCACCTTCCATTCTTTAAAGCTGATAGCACACCAGCCATTGAACTTGTTGATCTGCTGCTGCCAAAAAAAAAAGGTCTCATGATCTTACATTTACTGGGGCAGTTTTTGGCATTTTTTTTTCTCGAGTCTGTCTGGGCCATGGAGACCATCGAGGTGCTGAGCTACCTGAGGATCATCATCTCACACTGAATCTGAGACTCCAACCTACTATACCTTTCTTCATGTTTACTCTTATGAAAAGCATCCATTAGGTTAAGTCTTTGCTATACCAGATTGCTCCACTGATATAACAGTCCCATTCTTAAGGCCGATATCACTATTTATTGTGTTAAGAGTAGTGCGTAAAGAGCCAGTTATGATCAGAGCCCCACTGAGCCAGGCTGCGGAAAAAATGAATAAAGGTTTACTTCTGCCCCGAAGACATCACAGTCTAAACAGATGAGAAAGAATAGAAGAAATAAATACAAACACATAGCTGCAAAAAGAGGTAGATTTTTGCAAGTGCTGTCTAAAATATATTTTCTTCATAGCAATTTTTTTTCTCTTCCAAGTGTTCTTTTAGTGGTTTTGATGGTTAGTAGATGCCTGGATTTAGAGTGAAAAATAAAATTTCTATGTTTGAGGCCATATTATCATTACACTCATTTTAATGTCTGTACAGCATCAGCATCTGAGACTGCAGGAACTTAGCTGCTTTACTTGTTGGCATTACACTGAAGTTGATTTCAGTGAACCATAAAAAGTTTGGCCCTGAAGGTAAAATTACACTGTATGCATGTTCCTAACATACTGCTTTGGGGATAAACATGTCTTAAATCAACTCATTGCTCACAGCTAAATTCCTTCCCCAAATGCAGTTTCCCTGTAGATAGTAATGTTCAGTAAGACTGATTTTTTTTAAAACCATAAAGTTTTTTGAACGTAATTCTATCAATAAACATATTTGAGCAGGGTAGCAAAGAATTCACATAATCCTGATAAAGATTTGGGGTTTTTGTGAAAGAAAAGGACGGGCATGTGCTAACATTTTTAATTAGCTTTCATCAGTACCTCTAATTTGTTCAGATGTGTTCCAAACGTTTGCATATTGTATTTGCTCACATGTACATAATGAAAACTTTTGGACTTCATAGAAACTTTATTTGGTAATTGTGCATTTGGAAAATTAAAATTGAAGTTTATGATACCCTGGCTCCTACTTGCTCAGTTCATAGTGTGTTGTTAAGATGCCGTCACTCGAGAGCTTTGTTACAGCGACGTTTCTGTTGTGGCTTAATATGTTGTGGGTTCAGATGGCTGTAATTGTGGCCTTGAGGGGCTGGACTAAATATCAGCTGGGTTTGTACCTAGATATTCTTGGATTAATATTTTGGGACTTAGATCTTGTCCTGTCTGGAATTTAAACATAGTTCCCCAACCTTTAAAGGGAAGGCAAGCACCATTTGAGTCTCTTAATGAACACTTTTTTCCCTCTTTAATTTGCCTTTTTTTTTTTTTTTAACTCCTGTAGCCAGTGAAATCCAGGCATTTACTTCCAAACCATTTTTACAGCCCCATATGGACAAAATGCTTTAGTTTGTTCCTCATCTGAATTCCCAAATTAATAATGGTTAGAAAGTTCTTACATCTGCATCTCCATTTTTCTTAGAATATGTAAGGGTGAAAAAAAAATATTTCCCCAGATATTAGGCAAACCTTTGAAGTGTGAACGACTTTGTTACATTTGAGACTGCAAGTCTTTCGTTCTGACTAGGTTGATTTTTTTGGTTGCTTTTTGAAATAATTCCTTTTGTTTCAGGTCTAAAATTTCAATTTTATGTCTACATGGAGACAAGAGACTTAAACTCCCCCATAGTGAGGAATCAGTCAAGGTTTTTCTTCTGTTTAGAAACCTTTGACCCATCCCTCCCCTCTTCAGTGAACAGAAATGGCAAGGCAACTTGTGCTGAGGGTGACTAAAGATCTGCTCTCCATGTAGCTCATGAAGTGAACCTGCAGGGTAGAGGGTTTCAGGAGTCCTGCTTATGGAAAAAATGCTTTTAAAGTATTTCTTTGCAAAAAAGAGCCTTTCTTGTACCCCTGAGTATATATTAATTGGTTATAATCCTTAGTTTTGAGGCACATAATTATTCACACAGCAGCACGTGATGGCTTCACAGGTACAGTTAGAATTTCTTTGTACTGACAAGCAGCCTTTTCTGCGGGACAGAGAAGACCTTTTTGTGTAAAGCTCCAAGTTCTATAATTAGTGGTATAGTAAAGAATTCAGATAAGTGGCAAAACAAGTACAAGTGCTTAAAAATTCAACCAACTAACCTTTAAGTTGTCTGCATGGATATGTCATTACTCTAAGTGGTTTAATGTCTGTTTGCATGTCTTTTTATCTTTTTTTTTTTTCTTTTTTCCTTCCAGATCATTACTAAATATGTTTACGAGCTACTGCAAAAAGAGTGCCACTTGACGAAAGTAACTCTCCCAGTAAGTATAATTTTTTTTTTTCCTGAAGATGTAGTTTGGATCTGTGGAAAGCAGAGTCTGCAGTCCAGTATTCAGATAAAGTTATGGTGTGCCAAGGCTCTGTGCAGGGCATTGTGTAAGGACACTGCCGTCACATGCAGCATCTTCATGCATCTGGAGACATGATTCCACCTCACTCTTCATGTGTTTGATGTCTCCAGCTGAGCTTTCCTTGACTTACCAGATACCAGAATTTTCAAAATGTTTTGATACAGGAATCATAAGTTTTTTGAAAAGTATTTGTAAAGTTTTGAGACCTCTCCAGCTGGATATAGAGAACAAATGTGCCTTTACAGGCAGAAGAATAAACTCAAATTGAGTTTCAGTAAACTACTCCAAGTCTTTTTTTTTAAAATGCACTTTTTCAGTAACTCGTAACATGTATGTAATATAAGGTGCTGCTGTTGTTTAGTGAAAATACGTGATCATCCCTTGGAAGTGATGAAGCATTCCCCAAAGAACATGTATGAGAGTGTTTATAAATATGTGTGATACCATGATGATGTTCAGATATTTTTATATTCTGTAGTGGAGAGTGTAGGGGAGACTGTAGTGTGACAGCACTATGTAGGTTTTCCTTCACTATCTTGATGGATTCTTAGGGTCTTTGAGAAGCTTTTGCATTACTGTTGATCTCAGCCAATCCCTCATGCTCAGTTGAGGAAAACCCATTCAGGCTAAGGAAGGAAAATTTCCTTTATTTTAACAGTTCTATAGTGTTTTGCAGTTCCCATTTCCATTGCCTAAGTAGTGATGTTTAGGCAGTGTTTTGATAACCTGCCCAAACTACTCAAGATTTCCCAACCAGGCTTTGCCAGTGTCTCCTGCTGGAGGCAGAAAGACCTGTGCCGGGAGCTCCACGGAGCAGTTGGAGAAAGAGCAGCAGCACTTCCAGTCTGCCAAACCACAGAGGCTGCGATGGTGCCCCAATACCCAAAACTGCTTGAGGAAGAAATTCCCCTGCTTTGGGTTTCCCTGTGTAGTCAGAGAGGAGGGTTGGGTTTGTGGTGGCAGTCTACCTGGTGCAGTGCTGGTCATGGTCTCCGACTCTTTTGTGCTGCTGGTTTTATTTGTTGGGAAAGTTTTGATCCAAGGAGTATTTCCATGTTCCGAACGGGTAATGTGTCAAAAGACTTCCTGGAGCCATGTCAGCCTCTCTCTGTCAAACCAGAAAGCTGTCATTTGTCAACTTTCAAATGCCTGAATTTTGAGACGATACAACTTTCTTCGAATGTCCTTTATAAAAAGCAATATGCATGTAAGTAATGCAATGTTAAGGCTGATCTATTAGCTTCAAAACATAAAGATGAACAAACTTGGAATAAGTATTGCACCACCTCAAATCACCTCTGTCACACATGTGGGAACTTTTCTGCAGATTTGGGTGTCTGGCTTAGGAGGAGAATGTCCCTGTCTTACTCCCACTGTTGCAATAATCTGTGCTTACTCTTATTTATAAATTATGTAATAAGCACTGACGTACTGATGTAGTTTGTCAGTAGTACATTCAAGCTATTCTCAAGTGTATTACTTCCAGCTTATGCAAAGTGTCATAATTTAATTGCATTTTAGAGCAAAGTAAGAACTCAAAAAATATACACAGCTGTTTAACTGTGAGCAGTGTGGAAAATGTGGCACAAGATATGAGTGCTGTTCTTTAGTAATGACTATTACATGTAGGAAGCCCTTGCTACTGTCAAAAAATAGGTTATGAAGAGGACTGCAGAAAGGAGAAAAATGAAACAATGTATATAGAATGTGAAAAATTAAATCTGTCTAAAGGCTATGTTTAAATCACCACTGACAGACTCCCAAGTAAGAACACAAAGAAACCTAGTTTAAACTAGTAAAGGAGGCTAATAGAAGTAATAAGACAGCTTGCAGCAAAAGTCAGTCTTGTGCAAGTGAGGAAAATAGAGGAGTATAAAGGCTGGCGAGTTACATATAAAATCACAGTAAGATCACCCAGAACTGAAATTGAGAAGCTTGTTACAGCTGTAAAGGCTAGTAATAAAAGAGAGCTGATGAGCTGCATGCGAAAGGAATGCTCAGCTTAAAGGAGAAAAACTAGCATGGTTGTGTCCAATGTTACTTGTCCAGTTTCCACACTTTAATATTATTAAATTTTTTTCAACCAGACATAATTCTGAGGAGTAATAATACCAGTAATACCAGTAGAGGAGCTCTTAGAACAAATGGATATATCGTACAATAGTGAAGTTTCAGGATGAAATGGTTTTTAAGCCCAGAGTACTACTAGAAGTCAAATATGAAGGTGCAGAACGACCAACTAGTATGTAACTTACTGCTGAAATCAGCAATTTTCATCAGAGAAATAGAAAAAGAGTAAATGTGATAGTCTTTGAAAGGCCTCCAGGAGTGATTTGTAGTGATTCGTGTGTACCAGGAGGAGGTAATATGTCGGGAGGGAAAGGCAGTACAGATTTCTTTTTCAAAAAAAGCTACTAGAATTCATTGAAGGAGTCAGAGATCACATGATATTGTCAGTAAAAGAGTATATGGATTTCCAACAAGCCGTCAACAAGCTTACCAAATGCTTTTAAATAAGTCACTGTCATGGCATAGGAGGAGGGAGTCCCCTGATGAGTTAATAATTGGTTGAAAGGAGGAAAAGAGGTGTTCATATTTTACAGGTGAAATAAATTGTTACTGGTGCAGTGTTATTAAGGCCTGCACTGACATAGTTGGTGGATAAAAGGAAAAAATGAATTAATAGAAGCTAACAAACTTCGCTGTTTTTTCCTAACATTATTTAGAATACTTAAATCTAAAGCTGATTGTGATGAGTTGGGGAATTACTTCATGATGCTGAATGATTGGATGATAAAATGACATGAGATTCAATTCCAGTAAATGTGAAATTATGGGGAAAATAACTCGCTCTGTAAACACAATGGTGGCTTCTAAATGAGCTATTACAACTCAGGAAAGAGCTTGGAGTGATTGTGAATAGTTCTCTGAGAACATCAGTTATTGCTCAATGGCAGTGAAAAACCCTCAAAGCAAATAGGAAATGTTAGCAAATGTTAGAAATTATGAGGTGTTGAGAACAAAACAGAAAAACATCGTCATTCCACTCATTATGTGGGCCCCCATCTTGAACACTGTATGGAGTGTGGACACCATATCAAAAAGGATATGAAGAATTTAAAACAAAAAACAAAATACAGAGGAGGGTTGCAAGGATGATCACAGGCATGAAATGCTTTTCAGGCAAAGAAAGAATAGACAAAAATTCTTCAGCTTGGGAAATAGATGACTGAGGAAGGAATACAACAAATCTCTAAAATCATGAAAGGTGTAGAGAAGATGAATAGGGAAAAATTTTTGCCTTTTTCATAGTAGAGAAGCTAAGGGGCATCACGTTTAAATTATCAGGCAGGAGATCTCTACTGAAAGAGAGGCAGAACTATTTCGTATACGTACCAATTATATTGTGGAGCTCGTTGCCACAGAATACTATCAAGGAGAAAAGTATAAACGCATTCAAAAAAAGCATTTGACAATACTGAGGTGGGGTAGGTGCATTGAACTGTTGTACATGCTTGTCCAGTTATAAACTCTGGCTTAGGAGGCTCTAAAGTTACTGATTGCCAAAACCAGGGAAGACTCACTCTATAACCATGCAGTTCTTGTACTGTTCCTCTGAGCAATCTGCCAGTGGTCAGAAACTGGACTCTGGGACCTTGATCTGTCTGGGATGGATCTTCTTACGAATACTTTGTCAGAGGTGATCAGAAAGTTAGTGTATTAGCCTGCCGTCTTCTGTCAGCTAATAATGAAGTGGACATTGTAATGGTGTTTGAATGTATGAAATGTGTTTCAGAACTGTGTCAAGTGGAGTACTTTGGGGGGGGGCATGATTTTAGTAGTGTACAGAAATGTTACGCTTCAAAGGTTTAGGATGACAGCATTTCATGTTCTCTTACCTTAATTTCAACCTCATGTGCAAAGTCCAGCTTGCTGTCTTTATTTTGCTTTCTCAAGATGTCAGCTTCACTTTTGGACACAATTGTTTGTAAATTTCTTTTCAGATATGAAGATAAGAGCAGTTTGGAAATCAGGAAAGGTTGCACATTGTTTTATTATGTCAGCATCTCTGTCAAAACATAAATCTGAACATTTTTTCCTACATAGGGAGGCTGAGATGCATCTTGCATTATTGTTACTGTAAAGTATTGTAGTTATCTTAATGTTCAATATATACTACTGGACTTGAAAATTTAAATGGAGAGACTCATATTTGGGGAGAAGCCATTCAATTATTTCTTTCAAATTTCTCATTTTGTGCTCCATTGAAGGTTAGTTATATTATGAATATAAAAAAGACGGCAATTTTTTTGTCCAGAGGTAGTCTTCTCTATTTTGAAGTATTTCTCTAGTTTTAATGGCATAATCAGTGATTGATCTTTGCTATTCTTTAGCTATTGAGGACAAAATAGAGGGTGCTTGTGAGTTAAATGCATCTTTAACGGCTTCTGGGTAGGCCTGAGATGGAAGTTTAAATAATTACCAACATGTTTTATTGACAACGGCACTGAAAAGTCTCACTTTGCAGAATCTTCTAACTTATCAATGCTTTGCTCTTTCACTTCAATAGGTAGAACTTCATTCAGTAGTTCTCTTAATCTACTAGACAGCCAAGAATATTTTTCTTTGAGAAATAATCGTCTCTTATCTCCACTGCATGTTCCTTTTGGCTATTTTGTTACCTAAGTCCAGCCAATACTTGTTTTGTAAAAATTCCGCCAATTTTGGGTGTGTTAAGTTAGTTGTGATAATCACCAAATGCTAATTACCTCCTGTAGTATTGATCAGCAGTTTTCATTTTCTACAATTTCGAGTGAAAAATTATAGATCGAGATATTCAATATTGGGAAGACTGTAAAGTGAGTTAGCACGCTTTATGTAGAGCCACATAACAGAAGACTTTCTTATCTTGCGAAGCAAGTGAGCAGTTTTCTCTCTCCACCAGCTGCTCACAATTCTCACAATCTTTTTGAGTCTTTTCAGTTTCAGTTCCATTTATTTGCCATGTTCTTTCTGCCAGTCACAAGTGACACCTGTTCCACTTGCTGTAGGCTCTAGGCTCATAATTTTTATTGTGTTTCTTAACTGGAATAAGAAAAATATTAGTGGGATTTTTTTCCCTTTAAAAATTTAATGTTCAATTTTAAAAAACTTCCAATGTACAAAATAAAAGACCTCTAGAGCCTAGTCAGGTCCTGTGCATCTTGGGTTGGTAACGGCTAAGAACTGCAAATTGAGTCCATGTGGTAGCATGGATGTCAGTAAGACTGGATTTCAAGTATCCTTTGATCTTGTCCTATGTATTGATAGCAACTGTGCGAAATACTATCATGCTGCTGAAGTATTCTATAGACTGGTGCTACTGTATTAGGCGACAGCTCGTCTGAGACAGAACTCATGCGGAAAAATTAATTCACTGTTTGAAAACCTTAAGAATGTCATAATATATGTAGAGTGTGTAACTCAGAGAATTCACGATAGCTGCATGCATTCATAAACCTTAAAGTATAGTTGTGCGTTGGAAAAATAAATCTGAGAAAAGGAAAATTAAACTTTAAACAATACTTTTAAACAGTAAATTATAAGCAGAAGTTAGATTGGTTTGACATTCCTAGCTACAGATTATTGGAAGATTGTTATTGCATGTGAGTAACATTTGATGTTGAATCAAATTGTTAAACTAACTGAAGTTCGGCTTTTTACTGAATTTATTCGATTTGTGTTTAAATAAAGGATCAGAAATAAGTGTTCATGAGTAGATCCAGAAGAGACGGTGCTTAATAAATATAAATTACTTTATGCAGACTCAGTGTGTCTAGCACTAAATGGTATTCTACGTTCATTTGTCAATAAAGTAAGGTTGTGCACAGAAGTGACCTTTATGTGCATTCTTTAGTGAAAGCTTGATCTAATGGATTACTACTGTTTCAAGATAAATTAGCTTGGAAAATTTTTCCAAATGTGATTAATCTGAGGAAGAGAATGAAGAGTTACTTTTTATGATCTTGGTAGATATTTTTAACTTTTTTAAATTAACATTTTTGCAGAAGTGTGCAAAACTTCTATAACTACTGAAGTACTTATATCTTGTAGAACATGATTACTAAGTGCCAGTATTTCCTAAATACTAAAAAAAGTATTTAGTTTATAAATACTAAAACATACAGCTAAGTTATATCTTTGTCTGAAATACAAATTCATGATTTTTTTTTTTAATTACAGTATTACAAGTATTCAACTATGTGCAAAAGTCAATTACATCTTGCCAAGTACTATCGGAGATTTAGCGTTGTCTGACTTTTTACCTAAGCCATGTTAAATTAAGGTGTCAATACTGCTACTTCAGAAGCAGCAACGTGATCTGGTTGTAGCCCCAGTGTGGTACCTGTTGTACTTACATGTTCTAAACTCTTTTCAATAAAATGTATTTTTCACCATTGTTTCTGTTTTCTCAGAAAGTGTGAGAGAAGGTGAATATATTTCCTGGTGTAGAAAGTGCAAGCTGAGCCTCATGAGGCGCTAGGTCATTTTGGAGCAGGGAATAAGGTCTTCAGTGCTATGGCAGAGGCATCAGAGAGACATGACCATTCTTCCAGTTAGGAATTCCCTTTGTTCAAGTAGCCTCATAGACTTCATTAAAAAAAATATTAAGTAGGACTTGCATTTCAAAAAGTCTGGAGAGTCATGCTAAATTAGTTTTCCTAAAGTAAGGGTAATTAAGAATACATACCCATGTGTGAGACAAAAACTGACATATTCCAAATAGTCGCTCCTCCTGTCTCAATGCAAGGTTTATATCCCGACCTGCTTTTCATCGCTGTTGCGGAGTGTAAGCCAAGCCAGGGTTGTTCCTAGCGAGCCTGTGTGGGTCATGGGGTGTGGAGTACGGTAGGATGGGGAGATTTGCCTCTTCTGGTCTTCTGTTTCTGTGTATTCATATGGTAGAAAGAGAAGAATGAGTAGATAGGACATTTCTTTCTGTCCTTACGGTGTTTACACCAGCACGGTTCTTCTGCCTTGAGCCAGGCTTGATAAACCAAGTGTAGACCTGTTCTATAGAACTTCTGTTTTTATTGAACAAAAAGTGTTACTTTACTCTCTGGAGTAGGGACAAAACTTGAAATTAGACAAAGCTGGTTGTTGATTGGTTCGTGTGGCAAAGTGGCTAAGCATTGACTTAGGTACAGGGCTCTTAATGAAGCCATTATTTAGACGCAAATTGGATTTCTATATTTTATTAGTCCTATCCTATTAAATTTATAGTAGGCAAATTTACAATACTGGCTTGCTGGGCATGTATGTAGAGGTGGCTGGGATGGAACTCTCTAGGATTTTTTTAATACTATGTAAGACTTTTATTGTTGCTTCAGACATATCACAGGTGACAAATTACTTGATCCCCCACCCCATCCTCAATGGTTCTTTTATGGGCTTTCTTGTTTGCCAGTAAATTTCTGTAAACAACTGGTGTTTCAAAGCTTTAGCATACTTTTTACTCCTTTTTTTTTTTTTTAATTTAAACCTCCTTTGGATTACTGTTTGAAACTGTGGTATATTTTTGTTTGAAAGTTATGTTGCACAGATACCAGCTTTTGTTTTATTTTTATTTAGCACTGGGCACATATTAGTCCTTATAATATGCATGCAAATAGTTTTTAAATGGTGAAAATTTTTATATCAATTTGGTGGCTAACTGTATAACTACAGATGTTATTTTAAAAAATTTTATTGATGCATAAAAGTGCGGGTTGTTTGTGATTGCAGGTTGATGCGACTGAGAGTGAACCAAAGAGCTTTATCTTTATGAGTGAAGATGCGTTAACAAATCCTGACAAGCTCTTGGTCCTAATTCATGGTAACGGCGTTGTCAGAGCAGGTCAGTGGGCTAGGAGACTTATAATTAACGAAGATCTGGACAGTGGCACGCAGATACCATATATAAAGAGAGCTGCTGAGGTAAGTGAAGGTGTATTGTATGTACGGTTGTGCGTGTATATGCGTGTGTATGTGTGTACCTGTGTATGAAAAGCTCTAAATCCAAGATGTTTTAATTTGTTAAACGGTATTCGATATTTCCCTATACAGTCATTTTATTGATGATGAGAATACTGCTTGATTTTTTTTCAGAACTTCTTTCTAATGGAACCAAGTTTCTCTCTTACAGTAAAAAAAATGTTAGTTGTGTGTCATGTTGTTGTGGCGGCACTGCTGTGTAGTTTAATGTGGCAGCTAACGTGACAAGAGCCCTTAGCAGGCGATGAGATGCAATAGAAGGCACTACAGAAATTTGTTGTTATTTGAAGTGTTTTCTTTTACATTTCATTAAATTTGTACGTATTCTCACTCAACGTCTGTTGTAATCTCATGATAACATGAGCTTTCATGATAACAGCAGGCTTTTTTGCCAGGCTTGTACTGAATTTATTAGAGCCACAGTCTTTTTCAGTTTTGCACTGAATACTGATTCATTCTCATTCACCTATCAATACTTGACAGTAAAAAAACATTTACATTTTATGGACACTATTTTGTTCCATTTACGTCTATGTGAGAGACAATGCACAATTTGTATAATATTTTAAACACTGGAACTTTGTAGGTGTAATTTATTTCTTGCATCCTGCAACCTGAATTAAACTTCCTCTAGTAAACTTTAGAAAAGCCTGTTTAAGGGTCACTATTTCTGTTTTATTTACCTAGTCCTCATTGGGGACTTCAACCATCCTGATATCTGTTGGAAGGACAACACAGCAGGGCATAGGCAATCCAGGAGGTTCCTGGAATGCATGGATGATAACTTCCTTCTCCAAGTGGTAGAGGAACCAACGAGGAGAGGTACTTTGCTGGACCTTGTTCTCACCAACAATGAAGGGCTGGTGGGGAACATGACGCTCAAGGACAGCCTTGGCTGCAGTGATCATGAAATGGTAGAATTCAAGATACTTAGAGAAGCAAGGACGGTGCATAGCAGGCCCACTACCCTGGATTTCAGCAGAGCAGACTTTGGCCTCTTCAGGGATCTCCTCGCTAGGGTACAATGGGACAAGGCCCTGGAGGGAAGAGGGGCACAAGAAAGCTGGTTAATATTCAAGGATCACCTCCTCCAAGCTCAGGAGTGGTGCATCCCAATAAAGAGAAAGTCAGGTAGGAACACCAGGAGGCCTGCATGGATAAACAAGGAGCTCCTGGACCAACTCGGGCACAAAAAGAAGGCCTACAGGGGGTGGAAGCAAGGACAGGTAGCCTGGGAAGAATACAGAGCGATTGTCCGAGCAACCAGAGATCAGGTTAGGAAACCTAAAGCCCTGATAGAGTTAAATCTGGCCAGGGACATCAAGGGCAACAAGAAAAACTTCTATAGATATGTCAGTGATAAAAAGAGATCTAGGGAAAATGTAGGCC